AATAACTATATAGGCGGGTTTGATCGGTCAAGATCTATATAATTAGATTGTTAATAGTTAATAATGGAATTTTATTATATGCAAAAAAAAATTTTTTAAGTTGTAAATTTTTTTTATTAAATAAATTTGTTTGATTTTTTCATACATCGTTCATGTTTTCTCTTGATCGTGTATATATCTTAAATTGGTCGCGTTTACAATCATTTTGACATTCGTTATATTAAGGTTATTTTGATTATATCGAGAGATATGATCAAGAGAAGAGTTAGGAAGAGAGTTATTCTTCAACCAAGTCGAAAACTATCCCTTTAAATACACTTTCAAGTAGTACAATTTAATTTATGAGACTATTTCAAATGGTTGCTTCCAATTTCTTAAATTCGAACTATTTGTTAACGAAACAACTGTTTAATTTTTTCATACATCGCTCATGTTTTCTCTTGATCGTGTATCTTAAATTGGTCGCGTTTACAATCATTTTGACATTCGTTGTATTAAGGTTATTTTGATTATATCGAGAGATATGGTCAAGAGAAGAGTTAGGAAGAGAGTTATTCTCCAACCAAGTCGAAAACCAACCCTTTAAATACATTTTCGAGTAGTACGGTTTAATTTATTAGACTATTTCAAATGGTTGCTTCCAACTTCTTAAATTCGATCCATTTGTTAACGAAACAACTGTTGGTGGAGTGATTGTTGACAAAATGGATCAATGTTTTATGTTAACGTTTATTTTTACGTTATCAAATTCAAGATTTTGATTGGTCGATCAACAATTGCGTGGGTTAAAATTTTGTGTTATCAGAACGGTCTCTCCTATTATATGTAATAAATGATTGAATCAATTGAATTGTGTATTTTTGTTATTGTAATGCTATGAAACACTTGGCGCAGTGGTATTTTTATTTTTAGACCATCTTGTATAACGTTGTATAATGATAAATGATTCATGGTTTGAGTGTGCTCATCATCTGTAAACTTGATTGCTTGAAGATGGACAGGGACGTCGTAGAAAGGTGAGTCCCGTGCGCTGAAATGGCCTGAGAGGAATTTCTCTACAAAAAAACGAAAAAAAAATGTGGGACGGCCGTCCTATTTGTATTTTTTGAATTGATAAAATAGACTATTATTGTCTTGACCCTGAGTGATGTCGTTGTGCGAGTAAAAGACACGAAGCTCGCTGTCACGTTTTCGTTTAAAAGCTTGTTAACATTGACATTAAGACCTAGCAAGTAATACCATGTAAAAAC